CATCACATACCACCTCCCCTCTCACAGAAGGCCTCTTCCACTCCGGCCCTCTGGCATACTGCCCATTACCGAGCCGCACTTTAATGCCCTGCTCCTCCTTGAGCGACCCCTCTGAGCTATCAAGCTTCACTACTCACATACTGACCTCGCCATGCAGCCCCTTCAGTTCCTGCAAGTTCCCCTGCTCTGTGTGGTCCAGCCTTGTGCTGAATCCTGGGCTAATTCCAGCACACACCCCTCACCAGGCAACTCTATACATTCACACATACACATATACTGGGCTCCCAGCCCTCTGATTTCCCCCTCACTGGGGCCACACCCCTCACTGAGGCTCCACACCCACCCCCTCACTGGGGCTCTTCATCTCCACCCCCTCACTGGGGCCATGGGGCTTCCCTCCCAGGTGGGGGCTCAGGTGGCTGTAGCCATGCCTGGTCCCATCTGGGTCTTATACCCTCCTTGGGCTCAAGTGGCCATAGCTGTGCCTGGCGCCCTTGTACCCACAGTATTGTTGGGGCTAGGGGTTAAGGCACCCCAACCCACCTTCCACCGGGGTGGTAACTGGCCTGGTATTTCCTGGGGGATCCCACACGACTGGGAGCCCCACCAAGCCACCCACTCCTGGCAGGGTGCAGTTTTAGATCATGCCCAGGACCAGAAGCCTCCAAACCATCCCCTTAAGCTCCTGCCCTTACCTCCAGGATGTTGCATACACCCTTGCAGCCAGGCAATGTTTCTGCCTGGCTGCCAGCAGTGAACTGCTCTATTTATATAGGTGGCCAGAGATCTAAAATGGCCACTGCAATCAAGCACCTGCTGGCTGCTTGTCTCAGCCCTTAAAGTGGCAGGCACCAACAGTGCCCTGCCACAACGTTCAATGAGCTTTACTTCAAAGATCCCTGCCGCCATTTTTCAGCATGGGGATGCTGATACACATGACGCATGGGTGCTTTTAATTAGCACGGCTTGCTAATTAAAGCACTCGGCGCTGTGTCCCAGAGCACTTGTAAAAATCCCCCTGGACCTTGATCATGCTCCCACTGACATTAGGACTTTGATTTTTTTTATTTTTTTTTTTTAAGTATGAGACTGTAAAATAAAAATACTGTGAAATGTACAGACCTTTAGAGATGAAATAGCCTGCCATAATAAAAGTCCATGGGACAGATCATAGAAATCATAGCAAATAGGCTTGGAAGGAACCTTGAGAGGCCATCTAACATTCCCTTGCCCCAAGTCAGGTTCAGCTATTCCTGCAATGATGGATATTCCACAGACTCCCTAAGTAATCTATTCTAGTGCTAATCTATCCTTTCAGTTTAAAAGTTTTTTTCCCTTTTTAACCTAAATCTCCCTTGCTGCAATTTAAACTAATTATTTCTTGGTCTATCTCAAGGGAACAATAAGATAATTATTACCTTCCTTTTTGCAGTAACCGTTATATATTTGAAGACTGTTATTTCTCCCTTTAGTCTTTTCTCTACACTAAGAAATCCTTTCTATCTTTCCCCATAGTTCCTGTTTTTTAGACCTCTAATCATTTTAGTTATTTTCCCATGAATTCTCTCCAATTTCTTGAAGTGGGATGTCTAAAATTGGTTACAATTAAACCTTGAGGGATTAATAATACCTAGTAAAGGAGAAAGATTATTTTATCCATCTTACAAAATATATTCCTATTGATAAATTCTGGTATGATGCTTGCTTTCTTTTGCAACAGCATGACATAATTGACTCAAGTTTAATTTGTGATCCACAATGACCCACAGATCCTTTTTTTGCAGGCATTCCAATTAACAAGTCTTTCCTAAATGTTGTATTTATACAGCTAATTTTTCCTAGGAGTAGTACCTTGCATTTGTCCTTAATGAACATGCTTTCTGCTTATTTCAAACCATTTTTCTAATTTGTCAAATTACTTGGAACTCTAATTCTGCCCTCCAGGGTGTTCTCAACCCCATACATTCAGTATCAACAGCAAATTTAACAAGTGTGTTCTCCATTCCCTTGTCAAATGAAAATACTGACTAGTACTAGGTCCAGAATAGACCCCAGAGGAGTCCCACTTATTACATCCTTCCACTCCAACAGTGCCTCAAATCTGATGAATACAGTTTTCCAACCAGTTGTACCCATGTCATAGTACCTACAGCATATTTCTGTAAATTGCTTACAGCAATGTCATTTTAGACATCAGGAGACTTTAAGAAATCCTGCTCTCTCACGCCTACTGTCTCTTTCCAGTTGACAATGCCTGAAATCTTGTCATAAGAAGAAATGAGGTTGATTTTACACTATTTGATCTCGACAATTCCAAGTTGGCTGTTACTAATAACTCTGCTGTCTTCTAGAGCTAGGGACAGAAATTACAGATAAACTAGTATAAGTGATCAGAACCAGTTCAAAGCTGTAATGCAACAGAAGTTCAGTGTACATAATCTGCTTTCAAAATGGCTGAAACTGGTTTAAGATAAACCTGGATGGATGTAGTATCAGACTAAACTAATTTAGTGTGAATTGGTTTATTGAACTTCTGTCCCAGATCCCCTCCAGATTCAAGTTAACTCCCCCAGCATCCCAGGATGTTTTGCACCTCGCTGCAAACCCCCTTCCCTTCACAGGGTGAGCATGCTAGCCTTGACCCAAGCTGTCTGCTCTAGATAAACAGGGAGGTGTGCTCTACTGCCCCTCAGCTTTTGGCCTTGGCCACTGCAGTCACGTGGCTGCATTTCCGGAATCAAAAGTGAATGCCTGTTCACTTGCTTATTAGTTCAATCTACACAGTTTAGATGAACTTGTGAAGATTGAATCAATTCAGCCTTTTTGACTGTCTGTAGGTATTTACAAATAGATTTTCTGATTATTTGTTCCAATATCTTTCTGGAAGTTAAGTTAGGGTGACTGTTCTATAATTCCTCCAGTCCTCTTTTTTCCCCCCCTTTTAAACACAAACTTTATGTCTTCCATTTTCAAGCCTCCTGGAGCACCCCTGCCCCCCTCCTTCCCCATCCCCACAAGTTTTCAAAGATGATTGCTAATGGCTCTGAGATTATTTCAACCAGTTCTTGGAGTACTCTATGGTGTAATTCATCAGGCCCAGCCAGTTTGCATTTATCCAAGTAATCTATAACCTGTTCCTTCCCTATTTTAGCCTGAGTTCTTACCCCCCACACACACAACACACACACACACACACACACACTCTTGTCACTGTTAACCATCTGATATTAGTTAACCTTGTTAGTGTTTTCTTATGAAGCCCCAAGTCATTAAAGACTTCATGATTCAGCCAAGCAGGTCTCTTACTACACTCTCTCTGTTATGTTCTTATCAGAATAGTTTGCATTTATGCGCTTAATATTGCTTCTTTAAGAAACTGCCAGCTCTCATGAATTCTCTCCCCCTTAGACTTGTTTCCTGCAGTATCATACCTACTAATTCTGAGTTCATTGAAGCCCATTTTTTAAAAGTCCATTGTCTTTGTTCTGTTGTTCTTCCAACTAGTTCCTCCCTATTGCTCACGTCCCTAGAAAAGCATTCCACCTTCTTGCTCTCTCTATTTTATACATATATAAATGTTCCCAATTCCAAGAACCTGATGGACAATCTGTGTCCCCCATTACCACCAAGTCCTGTGCTTTGGTAATTCTGTCTTGTGACATGCTAAACTATGACACCACAGTTATTCTTCTTGCCATTATCTTTCCAGAGACTTTCAACAGGATTCTCTTCCACTACAGTCAAGACCTCAGAAAGCAAATGTCCTTTTTCCCTATGTGTCCTTCTTGAACAGGTCATAACATTTTATATTACTCTTCCAGTCATATTCCAGTCGATATCACTATTACAGCCCAAGTCTGTTACTCCTATTAAATCATAATTTTGATTTATGTATAAAGACCTCTAGTTGACCCTGCTTATTCCCCACACTTTTTTGCACTAGATTTTGCATTACTTCCTAATAGGAATAATCTTACTTATTATTTTTATTTACGTGGTCCAAAACTAAAAGCACTTGCAGCCATGGGTGACCTTTGAAAATGTGGGCCATAGGTTCTATGCCCATGGAATCTAAGCAATAATTTCAAGAGTTCAACTTCCTGCAGCTTCTGCTGCAGGAAATCAGCATTTGTGAATACCCGGCCCAAGAAAAATATCCCAGAGCATTTTGATAATGAAATTAGTGTAGCCATTCAACAGGGATGAAAACTACATTATAAAATAATACATCCATGTATCCAATGTTGTAAAAAATATATTATATGAAAGGATGTGAGAAATTATATGAGCAAGTAAGTAAAGACATTATACATGCATAAGAACAAGAAAGCAGAGTTTAAGTTATGCATACAGCTTTAGGTTTAGCTTTTCCTGACATCCTGAGTGCTTAATTATACAATGACATCCTTGTAATGTATTTTTGAATGCAATAATGTGGATACATCGAACACATTTTTATTTCTAAAATATGATATAAATATATCTGAACAAGCATGGATTCTCTTCTCACATTTATGCAAATTGAGACTAACTATATTATAATCAATTCAGTGACCCATGTTGTAAAGCTGATGTAAATTAGATCAGTACAGTGTCAGGTTTTTATAGACAAACATTTTATATTTACTTAACACAGAATTTACATACAACACACACACAGAATCAGTCTCCATTTTCCCGGCTTCTGGTGAGCTAGGATTAATTTGATATGAAAGTTATCCTTTGTACTTATTCAAAACCTGTTTAAAAAGTGCCTAGAGCTCTTTTCCTTTGAATGCAGCTAAGAGTTATAACCCCTACCCACCTGGTTTCTCTCTCCCCAGCCCTATTATAGTCATTATCATTCATATACAGATTGACAGATACATACAGAAACAACACATGCATATTATATAGAGAGAGAGCTACATCATATATTAGGTCACATGCAGGTAAAAACATTTTCAAAGTTATTTAAATATTCATTATCTAATCTTCCAGCAGTGTTTTCTCTTGCCTACCTGAATTACGCCACTACTCCTGTCTGTCTGTAGCCTTTCCCTGACCCTCCAGTGTCCTATTCTTCCCAGTTAATCCTAAACAACTCAAGAAGGTGATGATAGCTGTGTTATGTTGCTGTTTTTCCTGTGTCAAGTTGGTCCCAGGTGATTTTTCTAGCCTGGTCCTGTCCAGCTTCCCTTCTTTGCTCCTCAAAGTCTTCTCAGCTGTCTCCCCAGGGAGATCATGTGACCATTTCTAGCAAGCTAGCTGACAGGTACACACACTCGTAAAACGGGTCTGCCTGGCTCCTCCACATACAAATGATTACCTCTTGATGTTGAAACAGCGAAGGCCAGAAGGACCTGGCAGTGGGGATCTCAAAGCATAATGAGAGATGAGGCTGAAGCTGGTCCCTTATTCCTTTCTCCCAGTCCCTGGTTCTTTATTCCCGGCTATTGGTTTCTTTTTCAAAATTAATCCTTACACAATTAAAGGTTGTTAGTAATGAATGACACAAGATAAAGAATTAGGATGTCATTAAAAATGTATTTTTACTAATAAAAATGTAAAATAAGATCACGTATCAAGTACATAGCCCTGAAAAAAGACCTGAGATTATGCTGGGATTATGGGGCAAAATCCTTCTTGTGTCACCCCAAAACAAATGTCACTGCCACCAGGGTACTCTCTACCCACCTAAAGAAGCCTGGGCAGGCCACTCCCTGACCCAAAACTCCATGTGTGAGTGTCAACCTGACCATTGACAGGCCCCCGGGCCTGAATAAAGAGCTGGGTTTGGGCTGGTATTACAGGTGGATATCATTTTCAGATCACTCCAAAACACATGTCTCCACCATTGGGGGACTCTCCTTAAGCAGCCCCTGCACAACCCAAAGCTTGTTTTTTGCATGCCAGGATGCCTACTCACAGGCCCCTCAGGCCTGAATAAGGAGTTGGTTTTGGGCTGGGATTACGGGTAGAAATCCTTTTTGGGTGACCCCAAAACACATCTCAGGCATCAGGGGATACTCCCAAAAAAGGCTGGACAGAGTTGTGCCCAACCCAAAACTCAGTTTCTGCATGCCAGGCTGCCAACTCACAGGCCCCAGGCCTGTGTGCTCCATACAGAACCCTGAATAAAGAGCTGGGTTAGGGCTAGGATTATGGGTGGAAATCCTTTTCAGGTCACTTCCAAAACACATCTTCACCATGGTGGGGGAGGGGAGGGAATCTCCTGAAAGTCTAGGCAGAATCCTGCCAGATCTAAAACTCAGTTTGCAAGTGCCAGGCTGCCAACTCACAGGCCCGCATTCTAATATTATAAAAGTCTTAGTCTGTCTGTCTGTAACACTTTATTCGCACTCTGACTGGCGGACTAAAACAGCCAATCAGTGTGCTCCACAAGTATTGGACAGGAGACGGCACAGCTGACAGCAAAGTGGCAGTGAGGACCATTCAGTGTGTGGGGGAGGCAAAGCTGCCCCACTCCCTAAGAATTCCTAAAATTTACTGAACAGAAAATCATAAGCACAGCACCAATGTATTTATAGGGAAAAGGCTGTTTCTGCTCCAAGCAGCTTGCTGGGATCATGTTATCATCTATATCGCACCCCTTCTATGCCCAGCAGCAATGGGGGGCACAACTCCATTGTGCTGCCACACACCTGTGGCCGGGTGGGCAGGGGGCACCTCACCATGGAGGCATGGCTACTGTGGAGCTGCCTTCTTCCCTCCCTCCTTCCCTCCACGGTTGAGGACAGATTTAAGACAACCCTCCAATAATTAGATTCTATACATGCAAAATTACATAAAATTATAGAATTACAGTATGGTATTATTTTCCATGTATGGAATCTACCTACTTGGGGTAGTCATCTGTGGAAGCAGAGGGTACCCCCAAAAAGGGAACCTGAGAGTAAGGGCCCCTAAAAATTCCCCTGCAGGTACTTGGGCAAGGCATCATAGCCCAAAGGGCTGGAGAGTTCTCCTGTGGCCTTACAGGGATAGTGGCAGCATCTGAATGACAGGAAAAGCAGAAGCCCCAAACCTCCATGGCCCGGGAGTTGAGAGGAACACCTGGCAACAGGTACCTGAACCCCTGAGAAGTGGTGGGGAGAGAGAGCCCCAGTTGTACCTGCAACAATTGCTCACATTATCACATTCAAAGACATCTTGGATTCAGGTAAATACAGTATTAATTGCAATAATAAATCACAGAATCAGCACCAGTATTCGTAGTAGTAGGCATCTGCCTGTCTCCTGAGACAATAGAATTGTGCTGAGACATCCTGGCCCTTTAGCTTGAGTAATCCATTACTAACAACTGTTAATTGTGTAAGGATTAGCTTTGGAAAAGGAGACAGAAACTGGGAATAAGGAACTGAGAATAAAAAAACACTTCAGCTTCAGAATTCACAAACTTCTGCTGTACTAGTCTGGGTTCACATTCAGAAAGAAATGATACAGATGCTACAAAAAACAAGAAAACAATGACAACAACTCCACACTTCTGAGACCAGAAACCTTTCTCAGGAAGAACAGATTCTATAGGAAGATATACCAAGTTCTTTTCTCCATATTTATCCTACTTTCCTCAACTCTATATAGGTCAATTGATGACTCAGAAAAGGAGACAGAGCTTGATAGCATTGTACAGGTGAGACATAATGACAAAAAAGCAAACTTCCTTCATGTACAGCACTACCACATCTACCAAGGCCCTTCAGTCCTGTCCCACACCCCCCTGCTGTTCCAATATCACAATAAGTTCAATATAGAGCTACCACACTCTACCGCTCAGTTCAGCTATTTCAGTCCTGGGGCTTTTCTCACAGGTCTTTGAATACATCTGATTCCTGATTTCTCACCTGCAATCCTCCCTATTTCAGGTCCAGGATTCCCCTCTTCTGCTGCCCTCAACCCTTACATAAAAGTTTCATATTCCTGATCACTAGTTTTGGGTGGGTGTACAAGATTATTTGCTCAGCTCTTAGGTAAAACAGAGTGGCAGTTATAGTGTAACAGGAAACAACACATGACCTGCTGCTGAAACACCCAGTTCATGTCCCAGTCAATAACCTGCTGCAAGTGGCTCGGAGAAGATATAGATGATGACTTGATACCAGCACGCTGCTTGAAGCAGAAACAGCATTTTTCTGCTGTTTATAGGCAGAAACAGCCTATAAATATGTTGGTGCTGTGCTTACGATTTTCTGTTCAGTAGGTTTTAGTGCTAGTAAAAGTCTGGACAGACCTGTGAGAAGAAGAAAAACAGGATAGCCATTAACTGTGTACTCTGTGCCTCACTGTCCCATTGAAGAGCCCACCCGTGAGAAGCAGGGAAGAGCAGGGTTGGCTTTCTAGTCCCTCCACCACTTCTGAGTCTGACAATAAAGGGCAAATTACTACCAGTGAAAACGGTTTTTATGATAAGGACTCTTGCTCATGGAGAATCTGAGAACCCTTATCTAGGTTAAGGCTTTACCTCAGTTACAGAGGTCAATGTAACTGCAGACTGCAGAACGAGTTTCCTATTAACATTGGTGCATGGGCTGGCGAGTTGAACCTGAGCGATATTTTCTCTATAGAAACTGCAGGGAATTTACCACGCACCTATTCTCTGTTTAAAGTTGACACAGAGGGTGGATGTTTTGCAAAAGTACATTGCCTATTTAAAACCCTGCTGAAAGCAGTGCAGAGGCTGTGAGGTGACTCCCAAGGGTAGTTCCCCAAAGAAAGATTTTGTTTTAGGTTCCTGCTTCTGAGAGAGCACAGTTGCTTTCACACCCTCTTCATCCACCACTTCCTTTCACCTTCCCATTTTTTTACTCCAAACCAGGAAGAATGGTGGATAAGTCTAGGAGTTGATATACAAGGTGCTTTTTGAGCAGCTGCTATTGCTGTTGATTTCCTCTTTGAAATCTTTCCCTTTTGCTCTCCCAGTCAGACTGGTTGGAGGAGATATTTGCGAGGTTCATAGTTCAGCTGTCAGGATATGGTCCTCCTCCCTAGTCCACTCCCTTCGCCTGCCCTCCTGCTTGGTTCAATCACTTTCAGGATTTCCTCTTGTAAAAACTATTTTTTCCTGCTAGAAGAAAACTTTATATTTCCCCTATGCCCACCCATGAGGAAAACACAACATTGTTCAAATATTTAGTTTTGGTGGGTTTCTTTTGCAATAAAGAAAATATTTTTAGTACTAGTGAAAGGTAGCGGAAGGACATCCTGGTTACCTCAAATTCTTTATTTATCTTCAGGACAGCAGTAGTGCAAGCCACACACAAATACACACCATCCCTGCCAAAAGGTAATTCAGCTACTGCAGTCAGTTCTGTCCCAGGCTCCTCTGACACTACCAACAAGAGTTCCAGTTTTGTAGTGCAGGTCTCAATAGACAACTCCTCACGTTACAAAAACAGAACCATTCCCAAACCCAAATGTTTGCAAAAGAAGCAACTGAACAAGCATTGATGGGAACCGCCAATATAGAACTAGATAAGAACCTTAATTCTACCCGAAGAGAGAATGTTACCTACCTCCCTCTTTGTATCTTTCACATCACTGTCATGGGGCAGAAGTGAAAATCGAAATCTAGTCATCTCCCAGAATATTATTTCATGTTTAATTTGATCCCTGTGTGGAAGAAGCCAACTTCTGTGCCAGCATTTGAAAGTAGTTGTAATACTTGTGAAAGGTATGTGATTGAAAGCCCTTGGGGACTCAAATCCCCTAGCATTTTAGTTCAACACAGACAGTGATAGTGAAAGATACCTCTAACATTGTCATGGACACTCCTATGGGCATCACGGCTAATTTGCCTTATCTGTGGCCCGGATGGGCTGCTCAAGAACAGGTAGTGAGATGCTTTGCATCTCCTTTAATTAGTGGCCTCTCATTAAGCCTGCCAACTAGGAACCCTACTGTGGTGCTAATGTTTAACATGGACACCCTGGGAACTAATAAGCTGAATGAGATCCACAGACAAGACCAAGGCATATTATCCCTTCACTAAAACAGGTGATCAGATGCAGAAAACTGTATGAGAAAGGACCAAATATTTTATAGTTGATTAGTGAATGGAATATGGATTGTGCACAGGATTGGTTATTATTTATTACTGACTGCATGGTACTGATTCTGGGGATGAACAGGGCAGTCCCCACAACAGCCAATCTACACTTCTTGGTACCATTAAATTCTCTTAAAATAAATGATAGATCATTCATTCTGACCCAGTAGTTTCACCTTTTATTTATTTTATCATTATCCCACTAGTACAGGTGCAGTGTTGTGAAAACCAAAACCTACTTGTGTCTCTTCCATCTTGTATGAAGCATCAACACTCCACAGCCTTCAAAAGAAACAAGTAAGTTTGAACGTGTCTGAAGACCTCATTGTGCCCGTATACTATGGGATGCCCTTCAGAATACAGTAACACACAAGAGGCCCTTAATAATAAAGCACACTGAGGCATGAGAATTAGGAATATAGCCTCTAAATTTGATCTTCCTAGACCTTAAATGCTGGAGGCTGCAAATAAGAGACAAACAGTAGGGAAAAAATCCTGGTCATCCCTTATTTAGACTCCTTTTCAGCATGCACTCTCTACCACTGTATGACAAGACTTTAGCAAGGCTTTTGATACAGTCTCCCACAACATTCTCACAGGCAAGCTAAGGAAGTACAGGTTGGATGAATGGACTGTAAAGTGGATAGAAAACTGCCTGGATTGTTGGGATTGTTGGGAAGGGGAGTAATCAATGGCTCGATGCCTCTAGTTGGGATCTGGTATCAAGTGGAGTGCCAACAATCTAGAAGATAGGATGGAGTGCACCCTCAGCAAGTTTGCAGTTGACACCAAGCTCAGGGGAGTAGTAGATATGCTGTGGGGGTAGGACTAAGATGCAGAGAGACCTAAACACACTGAAGTATTAGACCAAAAGAAATCTCATGAAGGTCAATAAGGACAAGTGCAAAGTCCTGGATTTAGAACGTAACAATCCCATGCACCAGTACAAGCTGGGGGCTGACTAGCTAAGCAGCAGCTCTGCAGAAAAGGACCTGGGGGTTACAGTGGACAATAAGCTGAATATGAGGCAACAGTGTGCCCTTGTTGCCAAGAAGGTTAACAGCATACTGGGCTGCATCGGTAGGAGTGTTGCCAGGTCAAGGGAAGTGATTATTCCCCTCTATTCAGCACTGATGAGGCCACATCTGGAGTACGGTGTCCAGTTTTGGGCCCCACTACAGAAAGGATGTGGACAAGTTGGAGAGAGTCCAATGGAGGACAATGAAAATGGTGATGGGGCTGGGACACATGACTTTTGAGGAGAGGCTGAGGGAATTGAGCTTATTTAGTCAGGAAAAAAGACTGAGGGGGGATTTAATAGCAGCCTGCAACTACCTGAAGAGGGGTTTGAAAGAGGATGGAGCTAGACTGTTCTCAGTGGAGGCAGATGACAGAACAAGGAGCAAGTCTCATGTTGCAGCAAGGGCAGTTTAGGTTAGATGTTAGGAAGAACTTTCTCATTAGGAGGTTAGTAAAACACTGGAACAGGTTACTCAGAGAGGTGGTGGAAGCTCCATCCTTGGCGGTTTTTAAGACCCAATTAGACAAAGCCTTGGTTGGGATGATCTAGTTGGGGATGGTCTTGCTTTGAACAGGGGGTTGGACTAGATGTGACCTCCTGAAGTCCCTCCCAACCCTTGTTTTCTATGATTCTCTGACAAAATGGGACTGGGCAAAATGGGACTTATGGTCTGACCCAGTAATTGACAGGTCTTATGTTCTAAATTCTGACGTGCTTTGTGCAGAGAACAAGAGACACCTACCCTATTTTAATAAGTTTGTCTCTCCTTCCTATTCCTATGCTGCCTATGACCAAAGCATTAGGGCAACCCTGTTACTTATTATCCCTGGAAACACAAGTAATGGCTCTTTGCAGGTCCTTGAGGGTTACTTCAAAGAATGCCCTGTCGAGGGTCTGCCCATGAGTCCTCTGAAAGGCATAAAGTGGGCCAGGAGGGTCCAGGGCCCCTGGATTTGTAGTGGAGAAACGCAGGGGCTGCGGACCCACGGGCAGACAGCCTGCTTCAACCGCCAGCGGGGCCGGAGAGCCTCGGATCAGAGGGGATCCGATGCATCTGAGCCTGGGTTGCTTTAACAGCCCCCCCCGCTCGCCCGCCACGTCCCTGCGGCGGAATGAATTGGCGCTTTGTTTCCAGGGGCTGTTTCCTTCCCCGGCGGTTTCAGCAAGGATGTTCTCAGCTGTCACTGCGAGCACAGCAGCATCTGCCAAAGCCCGGGCTGGCTCTGCTGAGCACCCCGTGTCGGGGCGGGGCGGGGGACGACACTGAGGATACAGCCTATGAGCTCCCGCCACGGCAATGCCTTTCCTCCCCTTTCGCGCCGCCCACCCGACCCAACGCCTCGGGTCCCGCCACCCGTGCAACGTGGAATTTATGGGGGACGTGCGAGGCGAGGCCGACGGAATTGTTGTGTGCGCCGTCCCCGCCCGCTCGCTTTGTGTCTCGTTTCCGCGTTCTGGAACTGGCAGACACGTCACAGAGCAGGGCGAAGGGTGGGCGGGGCTGGACCGGGCACGGTTGGTTTTGGCGGGAAAGGGGGAGGGGAGGCGTTGGCGGCCGTTGGAGAGGCGCTGCCGGAAAGGGGCCTCACCCGGGGAGGGGGCTCAAGGGACCCCCCCCCCCTCAGGTGGAGAAGGGGAGGTGTTTAGGGTCAGTGATCCCCTGCGCAGGGGGAAGGGTCTGGTGGGAGCTGGAGAGGGGATTTCCATATGGGAGAGAGGGTGTGAGGGATTTGGGGGAGCAGGTAAAGGCAGCTCTCCTGGGGTAAAGAGACGTTGAGGGGTCAACATGAGGGACAAAAGCAGGTTGGGGGTGGCAGAGAGCATCCTCCCAGGGTTTGCCCTCCCTCTCTCTCAGGAGGTAAAAGCAAATCTATACAGGATGCCGCCACACTGATGTGCCTGTCTTTGGACAGATAATTATGTCCCCAGCTCTGCTGCTATCACAATCCTGTGGCAGCTGCATAGCTCACAAGCACCAGGGGCTGAACCCTAGCACCTACCTACCGTCTTTCCATGCCCTGGAAATGGTGCGTGGCTCAGACAGTGTCTGCATACACTGCTCTTTGCAAAGGCAACAGCTGCTGCTGAACAGGCTGGGGCAGGTGGCTGAGTCTTCGTGAGCCTTCAGCTACTTGCCAGGTGGCCACAGAAGCCTAACGCGGCTGGGCAGAGGTGGAGTGATGTTGCCAGCAGAGAGATGAGGGCTCTGTAACTCCAGAGTTGGAAAAATTGTTCTTTGCCAGCTTCTGGGCACAAACACCCTTCTTCAGTACATCAGCAGGCTCGCTCTGCACCTGAACAAGGGTGTTTGTACCCAAAAGCTTGCAAAGAACAATTGAGTTGGTCTAATAAAAGATATCACTAGAGGTGCACCGATCCATTGGTTCGATATTGCATCAGCACCGATATAAAGAAAATCGGCTGTATCAGAAATCAGTCCGATGTGGCCAATAATTTGGCTGATAAATTGGTGAGTATGCATGCAGCCGCAACACAGCACACAGGCACCAAGGACCACAGTCCGGCAGTATGGAAAGCTGTGTGCAGCTGGTAAGTCTGTTGTGGTGAAAGGGGCGTGGGGAGCAAATCAACACCCCCCCAGTGAGGGAGGGAGTTGGGACAGGTGCTGTCCAGCTGGGGCAAAGGTGGGGGGGGCATGTGCCCCCAGATCAGCGCGAGGTGGGCAGGCTGCAGCTCCCACACACTCCAGACAAGCCATGGCTCCATCCTGTTCCCTGTCCCACCCACTGGGCAGCGTCTACCCCAACTCCCTCCCTCACTGCAGGGGGCATTGATCTGCCGCTGCCGCCGCCTCCGCCCCGGCCCCGGCCCAGGCCCCTTTCCCTCCCCTTCAACCACAACAGACTTACCAGCTGGATGCAGCTATATCAGAAATCAGATTGGTATCAGCTGATATGCCTCGTTAAAAATCAGCTATTGGTATCAGCCCTCAAAATCTCTATCAGTGCACCCCTAGATATCACATTTACCCAAACAACCTTGTCTTACATAGGAGCAGGAGTTTGAGATCAAGCATCTTTCAGCACCCCTCCTGTCTCATAAAATTCAGGATGAGTGTTTGTTAGTCTTAGGTCTTAGCTTTAGCTCAACAACCAGTTCTTTTAAAATGCTTTCAATTAAGTGATAAAAATTTACTGCTCTGTTTTCAGGACTTATTAAATATAAAAGACAGAAAAATGTGCCCAATAAATCTAACTGAGAAGTTTAAAAAAAAACACTTTTACAATAAGAATTAGGTACTATTAATAGTTTTTTTTAATTCTCCCCTTATACGTTTCACAGCAGGAAATCAAACTAATTGACTAGCATTAATATATTAAACTTCTGTTCTTGTTACCTTGTTGCCTAAGCAAGTAGCTCAATTTTGAGAGGAGCTCAACTCCCACAACTTCAGCTGTGGTTAATGAACTGCTGAGCACCTCTAAAAATCATGTCATTTAGACAAGTGCCTGAATGTGGTATAAAGATACCACAAACAATCAAACAAATGTGAAATATTTCACTAAAGTTGTTTGGTGGAGAAGAATTCTTATGTGAAGAATTATTAATTGGCCATTGCAAGAATAGGTGAGTAAGGAATTTGATCCAGTAAAGCAAACACTTAGGTAGTATCTCTTAGTGGTATGATCTGGTAAAGTGAACTTTAATGTTCACTAAGAGCACGGACTTGATCCTGCATACAGTTAAAGTTAGTGCCCACAACTTGTATTGATTTCAAAGTGAAAAGGCAATACAACCCAAAAAACCTCTACATCTACTGGGCCTGAGCTCTAAATTACTGTACTATATTTAATTTATAATGTAGCCTATTTAGTTTGACAGCTCTTTTTAGGGATACATTTTTTAAAGTTTTCCCATAAACATGAAAAAAGTATTATTTTCCCACACACCTCACATTGGGACAAAGTAGTATGCTCTGGTTTTTCTTGTAGATGGCCAAATATGAACCTCAAGAAAGAAACTGCGATAATATGGTAAAGATGCTGGAGGACCTGAACAGGGACTTAGAAAAACTGCTGGAAGAAATGGAGAAACTATCAGGTGTAGTTGGTTTTCTTGGGAGGATATAGAGTTTACTACTAGAAGATGAAGACATTACAGAAGTACACATACATAATAATAAGTTAATTCAGAGATCTCCAAACGTCATATAGTAGAAATTTAAATGGAGACAGAATGAGGTCCATTAATTAAACTAAATCTGCTTGGTGGAGACCAGCACTATCTCAAAAATCTGGAGTACTCAAATATCTGGAGTTTAGTGATGTGTGTGTTATAAATGTCTAGAATGACAGGTATCTATCTTCATAAGTAATCTGGAAGGCATAAACGGCTCAAAAATTCAAAAATTAAATTCACAGATGATGTTAAATTGAAAAGAGCTACTAGTGAGAACAGAGATAATACAAAGCAATTTATAGAGAGAAAAACATTATCAGAATATTTTAAAAAATGAGACTCAGCTTTGGAAAATGGTGGATTATACTAGTGCTTCTGGGTGTCACAACCCAAAGGGTGTGATTTTTGTTTTGTGTGCTTCGGCACTGCTAAATTGTCCCCGCTAAATTGCAGCTTCCTTGCACGGTGGAGTTTTCTGCTGCAAAAGAGAACCCCGGTGCAAGGGAGAATTTCCCGTCAATTTGAAGCTTTCTTTGCAGGGTGCATTTCTTTGTTGCAGCACAGAAATGCTCGTTGCAAAGAGTTCCTGCCATTTGTATGCTAATTTGAGTCCCATTATTGGCCAGTTCTAAATTATTCACACGTGGCGGCTAGTGATTGGCTTGCTAGCTGTATAAAAGGCTTGAGTGGTTTCTGCCCAAGTTGGAGGACTCCACAAACAAGGGAGGAGGAGATATTCATGCTGCGGATCCTTACGGACCCAGTGCATTTAAAGCAGGCAATAGAGGTCTGATCAACCTCTAGCCTCTCCCCGTCGCCGATAGATTCCCAGACGTATCCCTTCCCGCGTGCAAACGAACCGGACCCACGGAGCCTAGCAAACTTCATGTAGCAGAAGGACACACGGAGCCTAGCAAACTTCGTGTGAGTCCTTGCCGGACGACTCCAGAGCTCTTCTACCCGGGTTCGAGTCCTGCAGGTTTATTTCCCCGTCGCCGAAACCCTTTGCGACGTACCCTCGTATTTTTCATCTTCCCGTCGCCAGAACCCTTTGCGACGTACCCTCGTGCCCTGCAGGTTTGAGTTTTGTTTTCTTTTTTGTCTGTAACTGCAACTCAATCAAGTTTTCCAGCCTGCACCACTGCCATCTCGGTGTAAGTAAACAATCTTTAAAACTACCGATACGCGTCTGTGCCTAATTCCAGCTCGAAGGCCTTCCCTCTCCGACCCGGCGTGTCTGGGCTGCTGGCCACAGCCCATGTGCAGCGCGAAAAGGGCTCAGGTCGCTCCCGGACCGCACACTGGGAAAATGACAAATACTGATTACCCAACTGGGAAAAAGGCTTCTCTGTGATTTTAATCTAAATTTTGTATGTGTTTTGGAGCAGGGATCTAGCTAGATTTTTCCACTATTTTTGTGATCCCTTTCTTTGCATTCATACAAAGATATTCCTATTGCTGCCTCTTCAAACTGTTTAATCTAAAGCTTTTAAGCTTCATCACAGATAAGATGCTCTCCTATGCCTGTCTATTGATCTGGGAAATGCTAGTTGTTTAAATTGCTTATCAGGCACAGAATAGCAAACAGGGTCCTCCCTCCCATTTGGGGATCAAACTCAGTGTTTGCATCTCTTATGACGTAAACTTTATGTTAATATAGCACAAATGGTTTCAAACTGGGTAATCAGATGGCTTCTATATTTTGCTAAGAAAGCTAAGGCTGAGCTCATTAGGAACTTTGCCAAGCCAGTATAAAGTAACCATTTAGAGTTATACAAGGTTCCTCAAACAAAAGTATAATTGCTTCCTGGGATGTGTTTTTCCATCCTATTTGCATGTACATGTTTCATAATGGTATAATTATATATGAGTACCATACAGGTATATTAATAAAGTCATTATGAGGTCGGAAATTCTGCTTTGTTATCAGGACTGTCCTGTTATTGAGCGTAAGACTGCATATACTGTTTTGTTAGTTACTATAAAACCTCCCTAAATTACACACAGAATTTTCATTTTTAAATATACCCAGAATGCTCTGATTTTCTCACACCCGCAGAAGGCATAATCATATCATCCTCACTCCCTTATCAAATTCTTTTGACTACTAGAGCTAAAGAAATACTGAACAATTTTTCAGAATATACTCTTGCATTTATTATCAAATTTGCTCCATGGATGTTTGCATCCACTGTTTTCATTTCTGTAGATATTTCAATGAATTAAATTACTAGAAAGGATGTTTGCAGAATCAGCAATTTAAAGTGAATTTTAAAAGTTTCAGACTTAAATTTATGTGAATAATAGTTGTGGAATGTACATTCCAAATGTGTAAATGTGTTTGCATCAGAAATCTGTTTCTGAGGTTTATCTAGACTGGCAGTTTTCTAGTCTCAGTCTCGCATCACCACTGATCACAAATAATGTGCAGAGGAAGAACTAATTAATCTAAACTATACATTCAGTTATTCTTTAACCCATTTTAAATAATGCATGAATTTGAGAAAATCACAATCTTCTCATGGATAATTTGCAAACAGAAAACTTGTCAAGACTTATTAGCCTAGCTTTATTAGATATTTATTTCAGAATCCATTTTGCAGCTGACTTGTTTTTAAAACCTATGAATTTGCTGCAACTTTTCACTTCACTTTTCACTCTCACCTTATCTAGCACCAGCTTCCTCTCTCCTACTGCCACTGTTCATGCAAAAGTCTTCTTTTCAACTTTTGTCATGTTAACAACCTTCTCTTTCATTGACAGTCCATCTCACTGTAAATGTTGATTTAAAATCTTGTCTGCTTTGTATCTGCCTCGTAATTTATTTCTCCCTTTGCTTTTATTTGGCTTTGTCTTAGGAACGTTTCATTCTAAAATATTTTGAGATAGTTTGTACCTATAAGGTTTTGTTGATGTGCTGAACAGCACTGGTATGCATGAATTGCTTACTATGGTATGACTGCTCTTGAGGTAATAGACAGTTTGCTTTGGTTAACTGTAGTATTAGTGACAAAGGTGGGACTGCTTATTACTGTAAGATTGTACTCACTACTTGATTAACATGGGTTGCCTGAGAGTATTCAAGCTGTGCACATTGAATTGTTATTGTGGGATTGATAAGGAAAGCTTGGGATGTGTACACTGATTTGTTGATATGTGTACTGATTTGACTTATTTGTTGACAGAGGATTATTGGCAAGTGTTGAGCTAAGTGTGCTGTTTAGAACTGGGAAACATTATTTCCCATTATGCTTCCCTGAATCATACATTGTTTCTCTTCTATCTTAATATTGCTGGTGTCCATCCTAATGTTGCTGGCTTCCTAATACTTGTTGTTGCAGTGCAGGCAACCTGGATGGCTTATGATATGGTGGTAATGCGTACAAACCCAGATTTGGCCAACTCTATGAGACGACTGGAAGATGCCTTCCTGAACTGCAAAGAAGAGATGGAGAAGAACTGGCAAGAGATGTTGAAGGAAACTAAAGATGGAGGAGAAAAAAAAGAATAAATTGTTTTCAAACCTTCTGGAAGAATTTCCTTCCCTAGAAGATCATTTTGGACTTGTTTTTTTTCTGTCATGAAAGATTCACAAAGACCTTGGAAAACAGATTGTTTTCCAGTTTATTAAGAAATACTGATGTGGTTATATATACAGATATGTTCTACCAAATACATGTATTGTTAAAACCAAAAAGTAATTATGTATTCTTTAGATCTATACCCATTTTGTATTTTGTAGTGTAGTTATGTAGACTTGCACAGCTTATTTTCCTTGCTTTAGGATTCCAACCTGCTTTACAGATTATAGATACACTTATTATTTTAGTTCACAGCTCACCACTAAAGAGTAGATGTACCAGCAACAGACTTTATGAGGAAAATTATGATTCTTCAATTAAAAAAACAGTTTAAATGCTAGGTATGCAGATTGATCAAGTTTAGTTAGATATGGCATTGCAGATCAAATGGACTAATAGTCAATTGCCAGCTTATATTTTTGGTCTCACACATCCTTAGTTAGTTCATCTTGTTTAGGTAGGGTTTTTGTTTGGTTGGTTAGTTGTTTTGTTGGGGTTGTTGTTTGTTGGTTGGTTTTCTTTGTGGGGCAAGGGGGAGGGAGGGGCAGGTTGGCTTCTTTACCTTTTCTGAGAACTGTTTCTTCCAGAAATCTTCCTTTCCTATGGAAAAGAAATTGTGTTTTTACATTATAAAAATTGTACAGTACATGGGAGATCTGTGTTGAGTTGTGTGAATTTTCTTACCACAATAGTGTAGACAGCAAGGTGTAGACTGTGGGACTGCAGCGGAAACCAAATAAACCATATTCAAAATCACTGGTTTCTTGCCTTAATGAGTACCTGAAGTTGAGGAGGAAAGAAAAAAAATGTTGTTTTTTTTTCAATTGTGTGCAAGATATGAACCAATAACACCACCTAGTGTTTAGCAGCCAGTAAGCAAGCTACAGTTTTATTCAGTGAGTCAGGCAGGAATTTCTTAAGGCATGGGGTGGGCAGTTATTTGGGCTGGAGGTGCCATATAGGGAGTTTTGGTGAGCTGTTGCAGGCTGGGTCAGCAGCCTGCCCCCTACGCTGCAACAGTTTGCCAAATCTCCCTAAGTGGTTCTGCCTGAGAGCCTGGCCTCAAGCTGTCACCACCCAGTGATCCTGGCCCTGAGGCCTCCATGGAGACTGGCCCAGGGGCAGGAACCCTGTGGCCAGGGCATGCTGGGCCAGGTGGATGGGATGGGGCCATGGGTGGGTGGGGAGCAGCATCTGGGAGCAGGACGGGTAGCCAGGGCTGGGATCCTGGGGCAATGCCAACATGGGGCCAGGGCCCAGGGCAGAGCCATGATCCACTCCCAGCACATCCTTGCCCACCAAACCAGTACCCATCACAGAGATGTGCAAGCAGCAAATTGTGCCTGCCCCAGGCCCCAGCTCCACACTGTCACTGCCCTAAGATCCCAGCCCTGCTCACCTGTCCTGTTCCCAGATGCCACTCCCCATCCTCCTGTGGCTCTATCCCATCCACCCAGTCAGGTGCGCCTGCCCATGTGGGTCCCAGGCCAGTCTCCATTGAGATCCTGCCTGCCCGCTCTGTCCACCAGCCCCAGCAGTGGGTGCGAGGTGGACAGGCCAGGGTGCCTAGGCAGTAGGGCTGGGTCCGGTGGTAGCAGTGACATTGGCAGTGGCAGCCAGAGGGAGCTGAGGGTTCCAGAAAGCAGAGTCCAGCTATCATACCACCCCCTACCCCACTGTGTGCCTGTGGGTGGTAGAACCCACTGCATATGCCACAGCCTGGGCTGTCCCATGCACCTATGCTGGGCAGGGCCAAGAGACCCACCACAGGCAGGATAAAATCCCTTGGCAGGCTGGATGTGGCCCATGGACTGTATTTTGCCCACCCCTGTCTTAGGGTGATAAACTTTATTGGACCGGCTATGTAGCTGAAATAAAGTTAAACAAGCTTTCAAATGCAAAACATTCGTTACCAGGCCTTTGATCACAGCAAGCCAGGCACAGTGTAGTGAAACACAACAGAGGGGATGGGCTGAGAAATGCTCAGGGGCAGCAGACACAATTAAAAGAAGAAAAGATGCCGATTGCTGGAAGATCAAGGCCTATCAAAAGGGAGGAGGGTCAATCTCACCTTCCTTGTGTGGAAAGATTTCAGGAGGTGGATAAATTATATAAATCCCATAAACCTGATATCAGTTTTTAGAGTCCTTGATTCTGTGTTGAGCTAGCTTATGAATTTTTGTTCCTAAATTCACCTTTTAGATAGCTAGATAGATTTCACTTGAGCAGGTGGATAGTGAAGTCAGAGAGGGAGTTATTCTGTGAGAAATGTACTTCTAATGATCTGTGTGACTGTCCTCTGTTTTCTGTGACAGTTCATTCTGGTGTGTAGTTGTTTGATTTCACTCGTATTACCAAGAGAGCACTTGGCGCATTGGGTCAGGTATATCACATTTTGGAAAAAGCATGTATAGAAACCATGGATTCTAATGGGATTTTTATCTGCAGTGTGTGGAGTGGGGGGTAATGGCAGTGGAGATGTGCTGACAAGTTATGCATTTCTTGCCAAGGCAAGGCTAAATTCCACTTGATGTTTGTTGGGCAGTGGAGAGTTTGCTTCTCACCATAAATTGGGCAGGGCTGGGCACTGTTTGAAAGTCAGGAGCAGAGAGACTGGGAACATTTCTCTCAAGGTCTGATCTTTGTTGGGTATGGCTGTAGATGTTTGGTGATTCTTCTGATTGGTTTCAGTGTGGGGTGGAGGTGACTAGGGGTGTGTGTTTGCAAAGGGTTTTCTTTTTGTATTATAGCAGATTACTGTGAGGTATCTGGATAGCTCTTTCAAATGTATGGCCTATCTCTCTGCTGAGGTGTCCTTGTTTTATGAAGGAAGATTTTAGGCTGGTCAGGTGTGCATCACAAGTGTTCTCAGAGCAGATGCGGTGATATCTGAGGCCCTAGCTGTAAATAACAGCTTTTTTGGTGTGTTTGGGATGATTGCTGATCTTATGGGCATAGTTACGGTGGTCTGTGGATTTTCTGTATATAGTGCTTTGTAGGGTACCATCCTGGATATGGACTGTGGTACCTAGAAAACTGATGTTAGTGTAGGAGTATTCCACAGAAAGTTTGATTGAGGGATGATGGTTCTTAAAGTGCGAACTGAGGGATGATGGTTGTTAAAGTGGTGAGCGGAAGTCAATAAGTGAGTCTAGGTAATGAAAATATCATCTAATGGAGGTATAGTGTAGTTGGTGCAATTTTCTAGGTTTTTTTCCTCAAGTGGCTTATGAAAAGGTTGGTATATGGAAGGGTCATTTTTGTACCATAGCTGTGTCCATGGTTTGAAGGAAGTGACAATTGTTGAAAGTGAAGTTGTTGTGAGCGAGGGGGAAGTGGATGATTTGTGCAGTACATTATTGCAAATCTAAGTCTACTCCATGGTCTGAAAAGTATTTCAGGAAGGCAGCTGTGCCCCCTCAGGGATGTGTTTGATGGTCTGGATTCTGTTGAAGAAGTCTGTGGTGTCTTGTAGAAAACTTGCTCTTTGAGCAGGGGCAGATTAAGGTGTACAGGCAGTCCTCAGACTTACAACACAATTGATTCCTGAAAACCACATCTTAAATCAAAACATCGTAACTTGCAAGTCCCAGGAAAGCATGTAAAACCGAGGGTTTCCCCTTGCAGGCTGGCAGCGTTCCAGCACGCAGCCAGGCAGGGTCGTGGGAGCCGGATGAAGGTAAATGTATGTGGAACAGGGGTTGGAGGACCAGGGCTTGGGGACTGTCGGGGGGGGCAGTGTGTGCATGTGCGTGCGTGCGTGCGTGCGAAAGGGATGGGTGTATAGCAGAGAGGGGGGCCAGGTGCCTGCCACACGGGGAAGGTGGCTGGGTAGCCGGGCATGGAGGCTGGGGCGGGGCGGGGTGGGATACTGTGGGTTGGTAACTGGCAGGGCCAGGGAGGTGTGGATCAGGACAAGCCATCAATCTTTGCAAATCGGCCCCGGTACAAAAAAGGTTGAGAACCACTGCTTTAGGGTATAAACCTAGGGATTCAGTCATGTCTTTTTCAGAAGATAGAATTCAAGATAACAAGGTAAATAAATTTCCTTGAGCCACGATTTCTTTCAATCCTAAAAAAGTCTATTTGTATTGGTGTGCTTCATTCCATATGGCAAAGCCTATGTTTCTTGAAATCCTGCATAGTGAGGCAATTACAGTTTCCTTTCCTACTAAAATGTTTGGTATCTCTTCTTACTGTGAGAGAATCAGAGTTTGTTGTGGGGAGTGTGGGTTTTTATTTCATGCTTTTCACATACATTGGTTTTTACCTTTGTTGCACACTGTGGGACTGCAGATGAAACCAGACAACCCACATTAAAATAAATTGGTTTCCTGTCACTATAAGGATGCAGCATTTTTTCATGGATAAGAATGTGAAGCAACACTACCACCTAGTGACACTGAGTTGGTACTAACTTTTAACACTGGCTGGATCAACTTTTCCTGGCAACCACAGCTTTTATACCAACAAGTGCTTTATCTACTGTTGAACTTAATGTGCCAAATTAACCCCTAGTTAACTCCACTGTGATGTGTTTGAATGCACATGTCTGACATTTGGGAAAAGCTCCCTTTTTCCCAAACAGAAGCAGGCCAGTAGGCATTGCCAGATCCTCCAATACTACATGCCTTTTGGCTCACGTTCAACTTATTGTCCTTTTCTGCAGAGATGCTGCTGTAAGCTCCAAACCCTGAGCTTGGAGGAACTACCTGCAGGTAGGAGGAGTTCCATTTCCTCATCAACCTTGTTCCCTAGCCTCCCTGATGAGGTTTAACTGAGTTGGGTCAAGCCAGTTTATGAAACTTCTGTCCCAGACCCCTTCCTGGTTCAAGTTAAACCAGAGTCCCCCAGCATGCTTTCCAGTCCTGGGCTGGGCTGTGCTTTCTGCTCCAGAAAGCAGAGCTGGCCCCACCTCTCTGCTCCCTAGGGGCAGCAGTGAGAGCTGGCTGACAGGGAAGAGAGGGGCGGGGAGGACAAGCCCGGCTGGAGATGCAGCCCAGTCTGCAGGGGGGAATGACTGCCCCCTCCAGGAAAACCCCGACTGGGGTCTGGAGCTTACTTGCCACAAAAGGAGCCTTTGACTCAAAACCCTTTCTCATCAGTGACCTGGAAGATAGGATGGAGTTCACTCTCAGTAAGTCTGCAGATGACACCAAGCTGGGGGGAGTAGTAGATACATTGGAGGGTAGGGCTAGGATTCAGAGACCTAGAGGAATTGGAGGATTGAACCAAAATAAATCTCATTAAAATTCAATAAGGACGAGTCCTACACTTAGGAC